ATAGTTATAGTTATAGTTATAATTATAGTTATAATTGTATGTAGATATTGGAATACTCCTGTATTCATGGCCTACAATTATGAACAATGTTCACACTTCTCTACAGTCTGGTGACGACCCAGGGAATGAAATCCCTCCAGTGTCTAGTGGGGAAGTCTGGAACACCAGTCGGTCTCTTCCCAAGGTATTTATGCCGAGTGAATAAAGGAAAGTGTTGATATGTATTTAGTCACTTAATGGAAATATGTGTTTGCTGTCGATCCCAGATATTTGAGGGTTCGTGTAACAACTGCACGAGGCTCGTGGCGATATGTATCCTCTGTATGTCATAGAATGAGGATTGTATATGCAGACGTTGTGGAGTAGGAGTGATCTTAATCTGACTGTGTCGTCGTATATATGATTTGCGGAAATTATTAAGATGGTAATCAATGCATTTGCACCGAATGTCTGGGTTATACAAGGATTTGTGGGACGTATGCAAGAAAGTTTTAGAAACTATGGTTTGCCGTATAGAAGCACACTTAATATGCAAGAAAAATCAGGGGTGTCGCGAACATGTATCACGAATAAAGGGGGTTCATGTATTGATGGGCTACTAGACTATAAGCTCTCTTTGAGGTAGCGTCATTAGCACTAATAACTACCCCTGATCCACCACTTGTACTTGTTAGGCTGGAAACAATACAGCGCACCCCCTACAAAAACGCACCGGCAAATACGACAAGAAGGACGCAAATAGCGCAGTGAATCCCTCGCAGGCGAATGTGGTACGTCAGCGGTTGTGCTTACGTTGTATACTGAGTGTACCTGTGCGTACGCTCGAAAGGATTGTACACTCGCAGATTATTTGGGCGTTAATTTTCTTTTTGTGTCCTCAAATAGGGGGGATAGGCTCACGAAAACAAACTTATTTCAAGTAAATATGTATATGCTTATTCATGGGATGTGTACGCGTTAATCTACTGAATTTTCAGATTCCATCCTTTTTCGTCATTTGAACCTGTTTTTCCCTCGGGCCGCATATGCAGATAATCACAATTCGATGTATCTGTTCTCTCTCACTGTCATCAATGAGATAGTAAAGTAGAATATACAATTAGACAAGATGTACATAAAATTAGAGGCGAATTCCATTTAAATGGAACATGGATCAAGTTAATAAATAGGGCAGATAACCGAACCCACCGTTTTGTCTATAAAGGAAATGGGCCATAACTAGAAATCAAGTTCCAGAATGTATACAGAGGGCTGCTGTATTTTTCTACAAGTTTCTCTCTAAGTAGTGTCAGTATTGTCAAGTATTTCATATTTCATCCTGAAGTATCGCTCCTTCGACAAGGTGTCCAGCGCAAATACATGGCCGCTATGCTATGTCTTCCAAAGGGGAAATGGACATACAAGCCAAGCATTTGGAATAATCCTGTTTCTATCCAGCATCTTACGAAAATTCACTTTGCTAAAGAATCGGGAATGTGTAACTTTTCAGTTCGAAGTGCCAATCATTCCACAAGGAGTGAAACGGAAGGAAAAGGCCACTGGCCCGTACAAATTTGACAGATCTGGAGCATTCGGTCCTTATATACGGCGGAAGACATCGCATTCTCCAATCAAACGAAAAGCCCAGCCCAGCGAGTACGACCCGATAAGCACGGTACTATTTACGGTATGCTCTGTGTTCGAATAATACGGACTACATTGTGGTTTGTGATACGATTGTTCACAGATATCAAGAGTATTATCGCTACTTATATGTGTATATTGATATCTTACACACTGTGCACAAGCTATCCGACATGTCCTTGGCCATCCTTGCAACCACTTGCAGCAAGAAAACACAGTTTATGAAACTTGTACGTGTAAGTGGTCGAGTTCTCCTCTGTGATTTGCATTTGTGCACTCTAAAAACTACTATGAAGACAAAATTCCCATACCACAGTATCCCAATACAAACCGAAGTCCAAACTGCCTCTATGTATCGCAACCCAATTAATTGCATAGTCTATGTCCCAAGACACTTTCTCGAATTTGATAACTGGCCATGTACAGTCATGGCCCCTGAGATACCAGTAGAAATCTTTGGCTTAGATCCTCGGACTATAACTGAATATCCACTGCATGTAGTGGCATATAATATGCGTCCATCAGCCACAGCTGTGAGATGACTAGTTATCGGAGTGTGCAATATGCCCCGTATAGTAGGCCAGTTAAATTGTGATGAGTGTCTGCGTATCCGCCATCGCTTCCGTACGAGCATGGACGAGCTGAAGTATTCGCCTGTACCCGGAATGCACAGCCAGTACGTTCCGTACTAGCACTGAGTATAAATCCTAAACTTCGGAACCCAACGAACCCAATATATACTACTCCCAAACATCCGTGAATCAACTATCACTCCATGCAAGTGTATACGAGTACGGCAGTAGTGCTCTGCGATAACGCAAACGAAGAAAGGATTTTGAATGACTAGTCCAGGGTTGATGCTATTCATCAACCGTTTCATGACAACATTCTAACCATTTTTCCGGGAATCCCACTATTTATCTACCATTCAAAACAAACATGTGTATAAACATCACCTCGTCTTGCTATATCACAGTTGGCCGAAACCTTCATTGAACAGTCGAATATCAACGTACCACTCCAACCACCACTGCACAGCACACCCGCGAAACCAGTGAGTCCCCCAAGTGCCAATAATGCATGTGCATCTAGTTTGCATCTTCTAGTAGTAACCGGTACCTGTGTGTGTATGTTGACCATAGTGAGTGTATGGTAGTTTTGTACGATATAACCCACTTAGCAGCACACCCGCAAAACGGTGGTTCCCCAATACCAATACACACACACAC